TCGTGAGCCAAGGTACCACTGTACTGTAATTTTTAAGTCAGTGAGTGCAATTAGTACAAAATTGAAAACACAAAAATTGGGGTGCAGAAGCTCCCACTTTAGACAGCCACATGCCTTCCATTTCCCCTGACCTCATCCCCTGTGCAGCAGCAGTACAGCAGCTTGACATAAGGAAAAGTCTCATTCTGTGTTTGATGTAAAGCTAACGACTCCCATAAGGCCCTGCTTTCCCCATATCAACAGGTTAATCAACAGGTTCCATTAATACCGCACCATACAGATTTCCATCTGCTCCCAAAGCAGCATTTCTGCTATCCTGAACAAAATGCTTTAAATTAATTGCAACAGTTGTTCTTTCCTCTGCTTAGATGGTTTATAAATCAGAGTATATATATTCTGTGAAAGCTGCACAATGAGAACTCAGGGCTGCTTTGAGCCTTGAGTATCTCAGGTTTTGCCCTGCCACCTGCCTTAAAATCAAAGCTTGTTGTTAGAAAGTATAAAGTCTTTTGAAAACAGAAAAGGCCACAGCATGACTTAAAGGGCCTTCCCATGATCCAAGAGCTCACCTGAATATCTCCTACTCTACCACCCCTTGCAAAGAGTCACATTTCCTATCATTTCTTCCACTGCCCCATTTATGCCAGCTAAAAATCCAAATGAACCAAGACACACATAAATTTAGTGTGAGAGCCAGTGTAGTGGTTAGAAAGTCAGATTGGGAGTTCAGAGATCCAGCTAGCAGCTTCCACCAGCCATGAAGCTCCCTGGATGTCTTTCTGCTGGTCACAGACTCTCAGCCCAGCCTATCCCATGGGGTTGTTATTGTAAGGATAAAATGGAATTATGTGAGGCCCCTTGGGTTCCAGCAAGAGGAAAAAGGAGGGATATAAAGGCAAGTAATAATATAAATGAGCCACTTTTCAAATCCAAGGAAAATGCCAGTGGGGGAGCCTGGATTCAATTGTGCGTTAAATCTCTTTGAATCCCTTGCTATGTTTATGACAAACTTCACATTTAACATGACTTTAAATTAGAGCTCAGCAACCTGTGGCCAGTCCTCAGGGATTATGGGTACTGTACTCCAAACTTTCTTGGGGGTACCCAATCCCACTCTCCTTTCATCAAACCATCAGAAATATTAGAAATGTGGTAAGAAACCTTGCAGATGTTGATTGGCCTTCTCCTTTGCCTGATCAGCCGCTGCTCCCTGTGCAGCTGTTGCTTCTCCCTCCTCTCCAGACAGGTCATCCACATCTCCAAACAACTCGGCCACATTTTCCTTGTGGTCACTCGATTCTCCCTCATCAGTCTCCACTGCCTCAGTGTAGGATTCATCATCTTCTGCATCAAAGAGCTCATCGTACTCATCGGGCTCTCCTGTGACAGTTGGATTTATTCCATTTTCTTCAGAGATTTGCTCTGTAGCTGCCTCGCTCTCTTCTAAAAGGGAGGCTAGCAGGTCTAAGTTATTGTCATCTGGAAGAAAGCACACAAAATAGTCAAACTCAACAGTGCTCAACCGCTAACACATAAAACCTAACCAGAGTGGAAAGCATACATAAGCCTATGACAATGTGGTTCCCATGGGCACCACTGCACTTTCAGGCACCCTTCTTGGTGCTAGTCAGGATCCCACACTTCTTCCACTCAAAAAAATAAAATAAAAATAAAAGGGGGGACATTTTCTTGCTTGTGAATAGGATTGCTTCAAAGCTAAGCAAAGGCCTCCAGTCACTGCCATCTTCTTTTCTCATGAATGCCCCTCAGCCACACGAGGTTCAAAGATATTATTACGAAATTAAGATGGTGGGCAGTTGCAGACTGATTCTTTCCTCTGCAGTGCCCAGTCAGGATCTGCCTCACACTGTCTTTTGGTCAGGATACCTGTCATTTGTGACTTAGTCATTTTCCTGGCAGCTATTTTATGATAGCTTTTTAAATTGCCTGGCATGCTCAGGGGGTGCAAAAAGATTGCCTGTCCCTGCTGTATTACAAAGTAGAAAGTAAAGAAAGCTTAATGTCATTCTAGTATTCAAGCCAGCTGGGAAAGAACATCACTGGCACCAAAAGCAAGCAGGGATGTAGCTCATTGGCGGAGCACATCAGCTCATTTTATAATGGAATTTGCGAAGATCCAGTTTCCCTACAAGCATCATAGCATGGCCATTTCCTTGGCGGGCCGCCTCCAAGTCCACTGGTAAAGACTCTGACAGATATCCATCCTCCTCTGCTGATTCACTTATTCCGCTGTGCACATGGAGAAGTGGCAAAAAATTCAAGCCTGGAAGCAGCTGATGCCATTGAGGACCTAACCAGATGTAATTTTAGCTCTCTCTTGCCTTTTACTGGCAGGGTGAGGGGGAGTGATAGTCAAGTTTTATTGCATTGGAGAGGGAAAAAGTTAATATAAACAACAATGGAGTAAAGCTTTTACATAAACTCTCTTAATGGAGTACAATTAGCATCTGATTATAGTATCTGCCATTTAGACTATGGCAACAAAAAGAATGGAGAGGTAAAGCTGCCTAGGCTGTCGAACAAATAATCCTCATCTACAGGAAACCTGCTCTCCACCTCATGTAATTTGGTGGAGCATGTCTTCCATTTTGTGCCTTGCCTATAAGAATAGCATTTCATTGATATGAAACCCTTTAAAAGTTCTGGTGGGCTTTTCCTTTAAACTTGGGATTTCTCCAGTGCTTTGCAGGTTTCTTATTTCCTTATTGATGAGGTGCAGCATCAATTCCACCCAAGAGAGTTTAGAAGGTACAACTAGAAATCCAGACTGAGACCACTTGTTTCAGGACGAAATTGGGCCCATTTTCAATAAAGGAACCTCTTAATTCTGGCTTCTTATGAATTCATTTCTTAGCATGTTTTAGTGTCATCTGCCTCAGTTCTCACTTCTGCAACATCTTTCAATTAATTAAAATCAGTAATAGGGATTTTGAAACATTTAGGGCGCAATCCTCTGGCCTTCGGGCATCACCTGGGAGGCTATGCATTCTGCAGAGTGCCAGCTCCAAGGCCTTGCAACCTAAGAGTTGGCACTTCAAAGGCCAACCCCACAGTCAGCATGGAAAGGACTGTACTGGCTGCCCCCCACCTGAAGGTCACAACTGGGACTAAAGGAAAAAGGTGAGGAAGAGAAGACCCAGGGGACAATGAGTTACACTGATTCCAAACAGTGCCCCATCCTCCCATTTCCAGGCACTACAGTGGTACCTTGGCTCACAAACTTAATCCGATCCAGGACTCTGGTCATGACCCATATTGGTCGTGAGCCAAGTCAAATTTCCCCATAAGGGTCAATATAAATAAGGTTAATCCGTTCTGCAACTATTTTTTTTTACTCACAAAAATGTGAAGCAAAGTGACCTAAAGTGACAACAAAGATCGTGGCCATCTCTCCCCCTCCCCCCAGCGATCGTGCGGGGGGGGATGGGCATGATCGAGGGCGTGCTGGGGGAGAAGCGGGCACGGGTACGCAGGGGGGGGAGATGGGTGCGGGCGTGTGGTGGGGGAGGCGGGCGCACTCGGGCAGGGAACACGGCTGCAATTGCGGCCATCTCCTCTCCCCAGCACAAATACGGCCATCTCCACCCATATCTTTCACAGAGGCAAAAGGACTGCACCATTACGTTCTTAAAATGTAAGACTATTTCTCAGTGTGAAGCATGCCTAACAAGAAAAATCAGGTCTAGTGAGTAGCAAAGGGTACCTGATATAGCAGAATTGCTGAAACCGTGTCTGTGATGACCTGATGAGGAAGCAGAAAAGCAGACCACCAGATGAATACAGATGCAAAACTCACCTTCCATATTTTCAGCGGCACCAGCAAGCAAAAGAATTCTTGTCTTCTAGAAAAACACAAAGAGTTGACATTATAAACAAGTAAGTCCAAAATAAATAAAATCAGTCTCTGTGGATTGTTATAAAAAGTGTTGTATACTACAAGATAACAAATCTTTTGAGTAGAAAATATCCCACTAGTCAAATCTGCAGTATCAATGATCTCTTTACAGATAGCTAATGTAGTCTTGTGGCCAGGAGCATTAACTATTGAGGATGCAGTCCTTAATTTATGTGGTTCAACAACAAATCTCAACATTTGGCTCTAAGGAGATATGATTTAAACATGCAAGGTCTGCATGTTTAAACCAGGTGTGCTCTATTCACATAGAGGGATTTCAAAAGCAACAGAGGAGGTAAGAGTACAGAACACTAATCTCATATGAAAAATACAGTTAAACTGATGTTATTGAATCTGTAGACTCCAGATGTTCTTGGACTTCAATTCCCATCAGCCCAATTTGGGGATGATGACAGTTGTAATCAAACAATATCCACAGGGTCCTACTTTTCCAACTTTACTTTAGAGGACAGGCTACAGTAAGATACCTGTTTCTGTTTTAAAAAATCAAGCATACACACCACTTTACATATAACTAGGGTCAGGCATAGTTTAAACACATGTATCTGACATACTGTTGTGACATTTTTCTTGAAATTTAAACAAGTTGATGTATATTATCCATATTTATAACATTTTCACACTGCATAATAAAATGCAACCTTATGCAAATCATAATTTAGTGTTGGGATGCCAATCCACTGGGAAATTCCCTGCACTATATTGCAACTAATACTATACTTTAAAAAATGACTGCTGTCTTTTATAGTTGGTATGCATTTTTTGTTTACATTTTAAATACATATTGGAACTGTATGGGAGAACCCTAGCATTCCAGATCCTTGGGCTACATCCAAACTTATTGTTTCAGTAAATGCACTGAAGTCAATGGAACAATGTCTAACTTAAGTCTCACTATTTTCATATATCAGTCATTCATTCCATTCGTTTAAAACTGAATCTCATTGTTTTGTAGAAATTCTCTGGCTGAAAGGCAATATTAAAAAATAAAAATTGGGATTAAGGTGACTTTCTAATGCACTTCTAATGAATCGAAGCATTGCTATCTGATCAATTTGATACACTTTGTCTAGAGTAGGAAAAACTATTAAGGACACAATATCATGTTTATAGAGAAAAACATCCTACAACTCATAGCACACTGAAAGTTTTAGGGTGTTTTTTCTCTACAAACATGCATTGGATTGGACCCTAAACTTCCAAAAAGTTTGGTAGCTAAACTTACTATTTGTGTCCCACGTCTGCCAGAGAAAATACGGTACTGAATTTATAATAGCTGTCATGAACCTTTAGCCCGCCAGATGTTCTTGCCCTTCAACTCCCAAAAGAGACCACAGAAAAGTGGTAAATTGCAGATTACAGGCAAGGCATGCACATGCATCTTTAAACACAGGTGGCATGTGCCTAGGGTTCCAGGGCTGAGTCAATGAATCTGCTTCAGTGATATGGAGAATGCTGACTGCTGTTAAGTAACCTTTTCCCCATGAACAGGAACTGTGGATGCACATGATATCAAGGCTTCCCTTTTGTGCAAAGAAAACGGCAACTTGCACATTTTGGCTTTTAGAGAAGCAGCTCTAGGGAGATGATGGCTCCCACATTACTCTGCTCGCATGAATTAAACAGTTCACTGATCTCCAGCGTCAATAGCCGCTTTACCTTCTGAAAAACCTTGGCCTCCCTTCCCGCCAAAGAAAAAGCCAACTCAAGGGCTTCCATATGTACGAATATGGTTGCTTAAAGATGATGCCTCTCTAGGTCATTTGCACTTCCAAAAAAGAGGAAATTTCTGCAATCTACTAACATTTACCTTTATAGCAATAACTAACTATAAAAAACCACTCTTCTTTTCTGCGTCAAACACACGCAGATTTACTGCAAGAAACTCATCTGCAGCTTTAAGAGTAAATGCGTCCTATTGGGCGGTACAGGCATTAAATAAATAAAGCCGCAATCCAAGGCACATGCGTTTAGATATAACAACCCATTAACTCAGGGGGACTGGCCCTTTATACTGCCTTTCAAGGCAAGGATTCGAATAAGTAAGCTTAGAATTAGGCGTACTTACTTGAATTTAGGCGGCAATCCTTTCCCTGGTTCCCTCCGAGGAAGCCGTATTGAACCCAAAGGGACTTACTTCTAAGCAGACGTGTCTAGGATTGCATCTTTCTTCCAAACCTCCCCTCCCCACTGCAAATTCTTCTTCACGGGTTGCCTTTGAGCAGTTTTGTTACTTCTCTTCCCACACTAGCGGGCGATATCAGATGCGCATCATTCAGCCACCCCGAAGTAACTGCCCCCTTCCCAGCCTTCCTCATCCAGAGATGCCCCTGTAGGCCCTTGATTGCGATTCGTCCCTTCTCCCTTGATAATCAGCCCCTTCTTCCTCGGAGGGCTGAAGCTCCCTTACCTCCGAGCGCTCTTCTTTCCCCCCGAAGAATATTCCTCTACCCGCGCTGGCTCCTCTGCTCGCCTCCGTATCACCCGCCAAAATTCTAACCCGTCTTGGCCCCGCCCCGATGAGACCTCACGGAAATCCGGAAACTAAAGTACAAACTACTCTTTCTCTATGAAACAGTGGGAACGAGCCGAGAGAGAGAGAGAGAGAGAGAGAGAGAGAGAGAGAGATGCGCATGCTTGCAGGATTTTTGTTGGTTCGCTCTGTAGTTTACAAAACTGTAGAGATAGGAAAATATAGAGTATCTGTGACGTTTTCTGAATATTGTACTTCCAGCTTTCTCCTCAGAGAGGAAGTGACTGTAGAAAACCAAGATTTTATAGCGATTTGTGATTGGGCAAACAAAAGACAGACTCAAGGGTAGACCTACCAGTTCTTTGCGTTGTGGTCTTGCTCTTGTGTGGTTACTTTAAACCTTTTGAAATCGCTCCGCCGCTGTCAATACTCTCTATTATATCCATTCTCATGTTGGGAGAACTGCTGAGAGAGACATAGGAGAACTCTACAGGGTTTTTTAAGGTTTGGTTGAGGCCGATTTGGATTTCCGATTTACTTTGCGAATATATGGAATATTATTATATGAAATTGGAGGTCTACTATAGACCTATTTTTTTTTAATGGAGGAAAGCCCTTAATGGAAATATGGATGAACGAACTTAGCACACCGTTTCAAATGTAAAACCTTGTAGTTTCAGTCAAGCTCAAGGAAAAGACTTCACATCATTGGTAGCTAGCACCATAAAAATACGTAGAAGCTACAGAGTGATACTAACTCTAATCATTGGAGAGGATACAAAAAGCTGGGAACATTCCACCATATATGTGGAATGAACACATGAACACACACACACACACAAAATGAAGAATCCTTCAAGGGAGAACTGGAGCATGGCGAAATGCACCCAGGCACCAAGATGACAGTGGTATGCCATCTTTTCAGTTAAAGCTTTCCTTTGTTCCAAGCCATCCAACGGCATATGATGAACTGATTTTCAATTCTCTATCACTGTTGTTTTATGGGCTCATTGCATTTTAATGAGTAATTGTTGTAGTTGTGAATGTTATGTTTTAATTTTATTGTAAGTGACTTTGTGGCTTCTTGTTGAGAAAGTGCCAAGGGGCATGGTTCTATGTTATCTGCTCTCGATGCACAGAAGCCTCTGCACATGGGCAACACTGGACTCTCTGTGCATCCCAAGCAGGGTGTGAGATGCAACAGTGGTGATTTGTCACCCCACACCTCACACCATGTATTTCACCAAAATTAAATGAAGCACTGTAATTTATTTTATTTTATTTATTAAGACATTTTTATGCCTCCCCATTCGCCGAAGCCTCGGGGCGGCTTACAACACAATGGGAAGGATGGAGGCCAGGCTGCCATTTGGATACAACACAAGCCATCAGCCCAAGCTTGCTCCCTTCTTCATCCCTCTGCACACCCCTTTAGCCCTCTCCAAGGATGACTTGGAGTTTCAGAGATTTTTTTTTTTCTGTGCCAGCTCAGACGAGGGCAAGCAGAGGGTGGGGGGAGAAGCTCTGCATTCAGAGTACCAGTTCCACAGTTGGAGGACCTCAGACTCCAAATAATCCTGAAATCTTCCCAAACAATGCTGGGAGGCCATAGGATTGAACCCTAAGAAGTATAAATAAACGAATTACTCCCTGAATTCTGTTATGCCCATTTGATTCCAAATTAAAATGAAAAGCTACCAGACTTTCACAAAGTTAACACAATAGCTTTCTTTTCCATTATAATATGAATAATTGCTGTTTTTCCCCATAACCATACCCAATGTGGTGTAGCGGTTAGAATATGGACTAAGACTTGGGAGATCTGAGTTCCTGTCCTCACTCAGTCACACGGAGCTCACTGGGTGACTTTGGGCCAATCACAGACTTTCAGCACAACCTTCCTCTTGGGGCTGTTGCTGTGAGGATAAAATAGGGAGGAGAATCTTGTAAGTCACCTTGGGTCCTTGCACATGGATATTTTCCAGGAATGTAGTTAAATGTTAAACACACAAACCAACCTGAAAAGGAGATAACATTGTTATAATGACAGCACAACTCATTGTTAAAAACTGGAAATGTGGTATCATACCGAATAGAACATTCTATTAATGGAAAAGTTAACTTAGAGCATAATCCTATGCATGTCTATACAGAAAAAAGGCCTTGTACTTCCCTCATATGTGCACAGCTCTGTTTTGACTACCCAAGAATCCAAGCTTGGATAATGAATTCACCATCAGTGTATCACACTAACATTGTTCACATACCACGTAATAACAATGTCCTCTGGGCAGTTATCAATAAGTTTTAACAATCTTAAAAACAGTAAGCAAAAGTCCTAAAAAATCAGACATAATAAAAACTAAGTATCATGCAAAATTCAATAAACAAAACTAACAAGAAAAAAACACCAAACCGTAGCAATAAAGACACTGAAAATCTTAAAATGCCTGTGGGGGAAAGCTTTTCACCTGGTGTCGAAAGGTAATACATGGAGCAAGTATGCCTCTCTGGTGAGGGAATGCCACACCCAGGGCAACACCTTCTCCCATACCACCTGCTGTAACCTCATTTGGCAGGGACATTGAGAAAGGTCTGATAGATGCACACATAGAGAGACAGAGCATGGTCAGAAAGCACATAAGCACCCACCATGTTGAAGCTAAGTCCCCTGGGGCTGGCTGGAGCTTGGAGGGGAGACCACCTGGGAACCAGATGTAGCCACCTTGAGCCCCACAACGAGAGAAAGGTGGGATATAAATAAAGTCACCACTAGTTTCCTAGTGGATGTCAGCTATCTGGGGTCTTTTTTTTCTCAGATTCAACTTCCAGTTACATGCTAAAGATACTGAAGAGACAATGGCAGTTTTTAAAAATAAAAACTTAAATTATTGTAAAGCCAAATAGGCGATAATATCCCTTAAATTGCACAGACTTTGTCTTTCAGACATCTGCAGCAATGTATAGATTCCAAATGGTAAGACCAGCATTGTACCCCAATCTGTGGTAATCACTTGAAGTACCTCTTTTTACTATGCACATGGGAAGAGGGATTTTTCTCTCCCTGCTCAGTAACAAAGTGGTACCTATTTATCTACTTGCATTAGCATGCTTTCAAATTGCTAGGGAGGCAAGACTGGGACAAAGCAGTGGGTGCTCATCCTGTTGTGCAGATTCTGTTGAACAGCCCAGTGGCTCAACAGTTTAACCTACTGCACCACCCATGTCTCCCTACTTGAATAGTACCCTGTTAAAAATTCTCCACAGTGATTGTTTTATGAAAAGTATACATGTTTTCCTGCAAAAAAAAAAAAAAAAAAAAAAAAATGAGCTGGGAGACACCATGTTTAATTTCTTGGTATACCATAGCTCTCCTCCAGTAAACCAGCCAGAAATGATGTCTTCCAATCCCCTTCCCACAAAAAGAAACATAGACAACTAACAGAAGGGGGGGAAAGATGAGAATGGATTTAAAGAGTGGTATGTGGACAGCCTCTCCCTTTTAGCTGTTTTCACTGGCAAGTTTAACTAAAAACAAAACAGGGTTTTATAATATGGTTTTATTTTCCTTACAGTATGATAACTCAGTTAAGCTCATGTCATTAAATGGTCTTTAAGAATAATGTAAAGACCTTATTCATAGGGTTGTCGTAACTTGGAAATGACAGCAAACAACAGCAGCAGGAGCAGCAAGGATAATGCTAAGTGATTTTTTAAAAATACTTCAGAGAATGGTGAAATGGCAGACCAGCAAGTTAGATATTCTTGGCAATATCCAATGTGACACTACTTTTAGCACAAATTATGTTATGTTAATGCAAAAGAACTCTAGTACTTGCTAGCAGGACAAGCTTCCCTGGAAAACTTTTGGCCTCAAGCTAGAGGTCATTAATGCTAGCACAATGTAATTTAGATTAGTGGTAATTTAGTATTGGAATATTGGCCTTTAGGGCCAGATAATTTAACCTTACCCTTCTGATTCAACAGTAAACTCCATAAGCTCCTGAGAACTGTACATGTTTAAGGTGCCTTTGAAAAAAGAATTCAGGTTGTTTTAAACGGTCAACTACTAAAATACATTAAATCAAGTCAAATATATATATATTAGTTTCCTAATTAACAGGAAGCAAACTGCAAATGAGATCAGTACTAATTTTGGCTCCTCAATAGTCTCAACATCTTTTTCAATTCCAGTCATACTTGCAGGTATCAGTGGAAGTCCAAACACTTTTTCACTGACTTGAAAAGTATTGGGCATGTGCAGTGACAAAGTGTAGTAATCATGTGTACCGTATTTGGAAGTGAGACACAAGATCACATGAAACAAAGAAGTCAGTTCTTCAGGACCTTAACCTGTTTTTCTTCCTGATTAAGATTATCACACACATTCATATACATTCGCTCCACATGAACATATGCATGAACTCAAGCAATGCACTGGCGATTACACATATCCATGAGAACATTTGTGGATGCCCACAAGACTGCAAAAATATGCACACATGTTCATGCACATATGTAAATGCACATGAAGGTCTACAAATACATCTCTTTGACTCTCAAAGAACAACTTGTGCAATGGAATTAATATTCTCTCTTTTAACCATCTTAGTTCTCATAGTTGTAACTGACCAATTCAGTCAGAAACAGATCTGATATGTCTAAAATACTCATTCTTCCCCAACTTCTATCTCCATTATATATAGTTAAAGCCTAATAATTTCAATTGTTAAAAAGCCTATTAAATTCCAAAGATCAAGCTTTCTAATAGAATGTGGAAATGTACGAATTTGCTTAGAAAGTGCAGTTCTCATTTATGAATTATTTTGGAGGATGGTACTTAGATGATACAGTCCATGACATGAATTTGAAGTGTGTCTATATCAGGAAGAATCGTTCCACACTTTGGACAAGAATGTACTGGAAGATCTCTTTGTTGCTGCCAGCGGTTTTGCTCTTCTGTTCCTGAGGAAAGAATTTTCTGTTTTAAGAACCAAAGTATTTACAATAAAGATAAGTCACTAACTTTGATGGCTGACAGTGTGGCCCAGCCAACTTAGTTATCTTGTTGAAAATGTCTCCAAAAGTCAGAATATTTTTATGGCAAGAGGTTAGCTCCAAACCTGGATAAAACGTTTTGCTACATACTTCAGGTGGAAGTTGTATATGTGTATATGGATGTTTGCCTTTCATCTGCAAGATGTTCTTTCCCTGAATTTTTATGGTATGAAAGCCATCCAACTTGGGATACTCAAATATATGCCCAAAAGCCTTTGCTACACAAATTTCATTGCTGAAGGCCTTAATTTCACAGATCCCACAGACTTCATTTTGCATCTTCCTTTGGATGCCAACATTATCTCCCAGCCAACTTTCTCTTTCTTTCCTGAAATGAACTAGAATTTCTTTCAGATATGTTTGGTTGATATCTCCAATTCATGAGCAAGTGTGATGAAGCATGGGAACCTGAAGGCAGGAGATGTGCATGTGCGTAATCAACCTACTCACAGCAGACAACTGGCTCACCAACACCTAGCTGAAGAACGTTTCTCCATACTTTCTTTCTACTTGCTTGCATTTTTTTTGTTAGACATTAACAGGAAGAACCTCTTATATCAGTTGTGCATATAAAGCTGGCCAATATTATGTATTTTATTTTTATTGATTGATTAATTGATTGTATTTGTATGCCGTCCCATCACATAGCCTCGGGACAGCTTACATAAAATAAAACACAATACAAATAAAACCCAGATCCACCCTGGCTGCAGATTAAAACCTATAAGCTGATGTTAAAAATTATTAAAATATTGTTGAAATAAAAAGGTCTTAGCCTGGTGCTGAAAAACAAATAACGACGGCACCAGGTGGACCTCTCTGGGGAGCGCATTCCATAGATGGGGCGCCACCACAGAGAAAACCCTCTTCTGGGTACTTTGCCTCCTAATGTCTTTCACGGAGGGTTCCCAGAGGAGGGTCTCTGCTGCCGATTTCAAATTTATACTTCCATACTTTCAAATTTATATTTGAAAGAAGATGTCCTCAATGCCAGCCATCTATGATGCCTGTAAGAACAACATCATTGGTGGGATCTATCTAGGCTGTGCAGCAAAAAGCTTTCTTGGGAAGAATGTTTCATGAATATTTCAAGATAGATAGCTCACATAACATCATGATGGAAAATCTACACAGAAGTTTTATTTGCCCCAATGGAATTTCACCTGCTCCATGCAGGTGATCCTAAGGTGATTTCCAGCCAGCCACATGCCTAAAATATGAGCTAGTAACTGGAAGCCAAATATTTCTGCATTAACCTCCTGCAGTATTCTGGAAGTGAGGGGTCAAGTCAGGATGGGCTAAAGCAATAGACTGGAAGGAAGGTAGAGCCTCTCTCCAGGTGGCTGAAAGAGAGGCAGGAATTTGCAATGCTGATATGGCTGGGCAGGCTGGGAAAATGAGACTGCATTTTTGAAGACTGAGTTAAAATGGAGACTGAACCTTTGTAGGTATGCAGGGGTTTGTGTGCAAGAGAGAAAGAGGGACAGAGACACATAACAGCACAGGCCCAATCCAAAAACATCAAGTACAGGCATGGCTGAGCTGGAGCACTGTCACTAAATTCCAAAATAAAAACATTTAAGCCTTTTCCTCTCACTCTGCATGTAAAGAAAGTAATCTTTACTATAAAGATAAATGTACTTACGCATTGCCTAACCTTTAAAATATTATTCAGTTCATATATACCAAAGTTAAAGCAGTGCTCTGCATAGTCTCTGGATTATGAAAAAATGTAGGCTAAAGCACCTGGAGGATTATAAGTTGCCCCATCATGGACTACAAATTGGAACCATTTGATTTGCAAGCTCACTCATAAAACAAGTCAGAGTCGGTTGCATGAATCTGAAACTGCACTGAGGGAGGTTCCTCAGTTTGCCCTTTTAATCTTACCTCCTTGGGAAAAGTGAGATAAATTATCCTGATCTGATGGTAGCCTAGTTCCATGACGGGTTTGCATTTCTGCCAGTGAGTTCCTGGGGAAGACAGTGAGAGATTGAGACCGAGAAAGACAGATGGGAGAAGAGAAAGGAAGGTAGAATGAATGCTAAATGGTACACTCCTATTTTCCATTGAAAATATGAGGTGCATTGCCTGAAGTTTTTTTTTTAAACAACTTGCTACATGCTCACTTGTTTTCTCTACTAAATAGGGCCCTATTAAAAAAATGTCTCCTTAGTCTCACCTGCCAAGGTCTTCATGGTCCTGCTTTTCCGTCAACAAGTATGTTAACTGCATAGCCAGCTGTTCTTTTTCTTCATGGATTTTCTCTCGTGCAGCTCTTTCAGCATGGAAATCAGAGCAATACACTTCCATCTGATAAGGAAACAAAGAAGAAGAATGCTCCCAAGTTTTCTTTAAAAATAATTCTAAACTTTTTACTGTAAAGACTTTACTCAGAAGTCTTGCCAAGCTCTTTGGGACATACTTCCATGTATGTGCTTATATAGGATCACTGCTTTAGAATATATACAATTTTGCAGACTCTGATAATATGGATTACTATATCTGCCTTGTGTAAGGGCCAAGTCATTACTTGTCAAGTGAATCCCCATACAAAAACTTGTCAGGAAGATTATGCTAAGATGTAGTAACTTGCCCCAGGCAGCACCAAGGAACTTAGCAAGGGGTTATTGCAGGCACTGTGACAATATCACTAGAAATCAGGTTCATAAACTGGGATGTAGTCTACTATTGTGTGCCTTTTTGTAAACAAAAGATCTGTAGTAAATTGATGCTGCTGAAGCCACCATCTCAGCCTGGGTTCCAGACTGATTATAAAGTCGTGACATTGCTCCAAATGGTTTCTTGTAATGGATTTGAGAACAATGTTTCTCTATCTCAAGTTTTCAAGGATTAGGATATATTATCGACCCAAGTGTTTGCTTGGTAGCCAATCATTGTGCCGGATATCTAGTAAAGTCCAACTTTCTTTCCTGATCTAAGTGCCTACAGGATAGGAGCAATGAATAGGACAAAGGAATTTGTAGCAAATTTTCCTCTCCAGTCCTCAACACAAATACCATATTTTTCCATCTATAAGACGCCCCCATGTATAGGATGTCCCCCACTTTTCCTACCTATCTCCAGTGAGCAAGCTGCTGTTGCCCCCCCTGCAATGCCCGCCCCCCCATGTGCACCAGTCTCTGCCCCAGCGTGCCCGCGGCCCCCCCATGTATAAGACGCACCTCCATTTTTAAGTAAATGTTTTTAAGAAAAAGTAGCATCTTATACACAGAAAAATACAGTACTATATTTTGGCACAAGTTGGAACCTAGCACTATTCTGAAAGAGGCGCACACCGCTTTGCAATATTCCTAAAAACTTTAAAAAACACACACACATTTACTCTTATGATCCAATATATTGCAGGTTTTTCCTGCTGGTTCTCAGAATATATAGCCCCCACTACCTGCTATATTTGCTTGATGCAAAAAAGAACAATGCCTCTAGCATTAACCCTAGCTTGGTTCCTCTTACTCATTACTGAATTTCAGTTCAGTTCAGGATATTTATTTCCTTTATTTTCAGGAAATGGTGCAAGAACCGAGAGTGAAGCTGTATCTGCCAAAATGTCTCTCTGCTACCCAGTTCTCAGATACAGAGCTGCTCTCAGATTTAGGGGGGAATCTAGAAACTCTACACAGCAAAAAATGAGAAAACAGTGCAGGGAAAGAGGGCACGTGGGAAAAGACTGACATTATATACCTGTGCCAACAATTCCTATGAAGGGAAAGAAAACCTTTCTATATTTTCTCCTATCTTTTTGCTCTTATTGGGACTTTTCATTTTCACTTGGCCTTGTGCTGTCCCTCATCCTGGCTCTTTCAATCATGCTTTACTGCGAGAGAGTAAGCAGAACTCCCAAAGTTTGGTGGGCATACCTGAGCTCGGAGGACAGCCACTGTTTCGAGCTCTTCCTCCTGCTTTGCAATGGTCTGCTTCATTCCGTCAATCTGGAACTGTTTGGCAGCCAGCGCTTTCTCTGCTAGATCCAGTTTGTGAATTAGCTCTTCGGCCACGGACTTATCTATTCTTTCTGCCTGCAGTTGTTTGAAGCAAGGGAAGCAAAATCAAAATAGGAAACAGCTTTTGTACCCCAGCTTATTATTGAAAGATTATGTACATTTGTTATTGCCTCATCCAATAAATTCTTCAGTTGAAATACAAATGTGAAGAAAATTACAGTATTATAAAATCTGCAGTGAAGTTCTAAATAATCCTAAAATTCCAGCACAAGAAACATTAAAATACACAGAGATATTTTACCCATTGATGTGGGAGCTAAAATCACTCAGCAGTGCAATCAGCTGATCACACTGAAAAAGGCAAAGAATAGGGTTTCAGCTCCCTGAAATGGGACAGATACAGCAAGCAGTCCTCACTTGCCCTGAAGAACGTGGGGCAGGGAATAGCAGTGTAAGGCTGCATCCAAGGCTGGTACCAGCCATCTTAACCACCAGCCGTCTTCACTTTGTATTCTATACAAACAGCAGACTAGGAAAACTGTTCCCAGACTGAACCACTTCAGCTTGCAGGTGAGGGGTTGCATAACTGCTTTAGCTATATAGATCTCAGAACTTTCCCTAATATTTTAGGATGCAATCCTATATAGACTCTCCTAGGAGTAAATCCCATCAAGCACAGGAGGGCCTATTTCATAGTATATGCATACAGGGTTGAACTGTTAGTTGTTTGTGTGCAAGGAAGGGAATTCTGTTTGGTAAGAAGGCTGTTTTCAAAATCTTGTGTATTCCCTGTAGATGCCATCCTAAGCATAGTTGTTGGAAGATAGATCCTACTGAAATAAATGACATGTAGCTCTGACTAAACATGTTAGGGCTGAAATGTAAGTTGCTTCAGTGGCTCAGATGGTGCCAAAATTTTCACATTTTCAAGTATGTGTACATTGCATGCACTCAGAAGCCATTTCCATAGCTGGAAATCACTAGATAATTAGCCAAGCTTTTACAGCACACTGGTTATTCCGTCACATTTTACTAGGATGTTCTTCTAGATCCAAGCTTACCTCTTTGCTTTTTAATTGTTCAACAGTTTGCATTGCAATTGTCAGTTCAGGTAGCAGTTTGTTGTATTCATCTTGCAGTGTATTGAATTTGGTTCTTTGGACAACAAGACAGATATTTAACAGTCATTAAACAATGACTTGTTTAATACTTTTCAGTTTCATTCACTTTTTCCTCTCTGTTTAAAAAACCCTCCAAAAATAACAAGAATAAACCTAAAGGAAACAAGGGAAGTGTCTCCCCACCTTAGGACTGTTTAATACCTAGTACCCCAACACATCAGGAAGGAGCCATAGTTAATTTTTGTTTTCTGATGAGTCTATCAGCTTTTCATATTATTTTCCTGCCCCCCAGTATTTTTTTTACCTAGAGGAGAAATGGGCAAGACATAATCCACAGACCACATGTGTTTCCCCAAGCCATTTTTGCAACCCTCTGCTCCAAATTAGGCAAAAAAAAAAAAAAAACCCACTGATTTTTTTTCCCAAGAAAACAGTTTGTGGAGAGTGTGCAGAATGGCACTTCCAGATGCCTCCTGAGAGTACAATTCGGTTTATGAACACATACCACCTGCCCTGAATTTCCTTGAAAAACCACAGTTCTTTCCAAGCAAATTTAGCAGCTATGGGAGGGTTAGAGGGCAGCCCCTGGAGGGTTCCAGGAGGAAAATGTAGGGCCCTGACACCCAGAAGTTGCCCACCCTTGATCAAGAAGTATGTTCAGCTAAGAGAATGCAATGAGTTTCTTTGCACAACAAATAACTTGCAGAAATTTCAGCCAGACAACATTATCTGCTGGAGCAGTGGTTTTCAACATTTCTGCAGCTGGGGATCATCGAAAACTGAGGCAGAAACAAAAAGCACCATACATATAATACAGTATTCTGGGTATTAGTTTCCAAACACAATACCAGGAAGGAAGGAAGGAAGGAAGGAAGGAAGGAAGGAAGGAAGGAAGGAAGGAAGGAAGAAAATTCTCCAAAACAACCATAAACCAAGCAATAAAAATGCCAACAAAAGAACAAAATACTGACATTGGCATGGCATGGCTGCCAGCCAGCTCCCACCAAACCATCTCTCCCCTCCCTGCCCCCCACCCCAGACGCACTGGCACACCCCCCATGAATACAAAGCCAGCTGAGGAAGTAGTGGTGGAGCATAGCCAGCCCCTGCACCAGTCTGATGAGCAGGATGTGCCCCTGCCCCTCCCCTGCCCCCATGGACAGGCAGGAAACCTCCTGTGGACTGGCCCCCGTCCATGGACTGGTGGTTGAAAACCACTGTGCTGGAGCATAAACCATACCAAAGCTTTCCATAACAGGAAGAAATCTGATTTCTGTCCAGATTCTTTGGAACTCAGTTGAGCAGATCAGTGACATGCAAGGCAAGAGAAGGGTAAAAATACGGAAATCCAGTTCCTCATTACTTTCTCTGGGGCCACACTCACTTCTCATCGTTTGTTTTGGCTTGCTCCAGCTTGATCTCTGACTGCATGCTCTCCACCTGAAGTTCCAGCTTCTTAATGCTATACAGCAACTGCTGCTTCTCATCCAAGTCACCAGCATTCATACTACGCTGTTTTTCCAGAATCTGACACCTGACAAATGGAAATAGAGCACATATCATTGCACAGCTCTTACTCTTGACAATGCATGTCACAGAACACTGGCTAGTAAACACTTCCCAGTAGCACTACAGTTTATGCAACAATTTGCCATAGGTGCATTTGTGGTCTTGCATACAAAATATGACACTCCGATGCCCTTGAAGACATGTGCCTATATGCCTAGAAGCTCCAGTCTACTTCACCCCTGCCCTCTGAAGCACTTAAAGATGGGTGTTCAGATGTGCAACTGTTTTCATATCTTATGTGTGTGTTGCCAGAAACGCCAGTCTAATCCCAGTGTGCTCATGGCAAGCAGAACTGCCACATGAAGTGTGGAGATGCTCACTGAAGCAGCAAGCAGGTGAGGGAAGAGACCAGGTCCATTTGGTGAACCCTCACGGTTGGAATGGGACCCCATGAGGCAGGATAGAGAGCACAGACTAATAGGGCCATGGGGTACCAAGAATGTATGGAAAGGAGAGTTTGTTGCTTTGCTGGCCTTCAGAATCACCTACCACACAACTGCCTGTGCTACAAGTAGGAGAGGGTAGAAGGAAGGAACATTTTAAGATGACTGGGTTGGAAGAAGGTAGAATCTATCCTAGCAACCTGTTGCACTCTTCTAGGAAGACTCTGCACCAATCCTCTGAGAATCTCTTCATTTCTGTTCTGGTGACTGAAAGCACCCTTACTTTTCTTGCAGCCTCTTCTGGATCACCTCAGCTTCTTTTAATTTAGCATGCGTATCCTGAAGTTCTTTGAACAAGGCAGACACTTGCAGGTTTAGAGTTTCTACTTCATTGTCCACCTGTGGACAGATAATTCAAAGCTCCCTTTAAAAACAGGACAATTCCATACAATTCCTCCACATTTACTTATTGTTTATAAGCAGGTTCACTGCATGGCCAGACCAAACAGGATGCTACTACTGACTTTACAGGATGAGAATTAGTGAGCCTGCCAAATGCTTTGAACAGTCAAAAGCCACTACAGACATGTTAAGTATTAATAACCATTAGGGATTGGCCTCCAAATTACATTGAGTTTTACTAAGTAGCTATTGACGGTATGTGCATAAAGAAAAGGTTATTTGGGGTCTTGTACATTATCCCTCAAATATGATCTAGAACATCCTGGGTTGTATCCAGTGTTGGTCCTATGCTGAGCAGACTTAGTGTCACCCACTATAATCAAATGGGTGACATATTATTAGATACTGATTTTATCACGCTGATGTTTTTAGATTTTTTAAAAAGTTACCGTGCTTATGTATATAAAATTTATATGTTGGAAGTGACTTTGGAGGATTTCACCCTAGAATGATGGTGTTCAAATATTTAAGCATGCAAACCAACAATTGTGACAAAATGCATATTTACTTCCCCCAGCCCCAGTATTACTTATTTGAAGGAAAGATAGGAATAAAATGGAGCTTTCCTATTTTTACCTCAGCTGCACATCTAGATATGGACAGCAACATAGGCAGCTGCTTGAACTACACGTTTCGAGAGGGACAGTCATGGCAATAAGCCAAGCCGGGAGTGGTGATGATTAGTTCCTTTCCATTCAAGGACCTGACCTGCAAGGGATCCACACTGCCTCCCCCATTGGATGTCTATGCCTGGAAGGCTGGACCACTTGGGAGCACTGGTGTTACAGCAGAACTGCTTCCATTTGCAGTTCAAGAAGGCTGCTCCACTTTGCCTATCTAGTTGCACCAAGGCAAGTTTGCAGCATTACCAGCATGTCACAATGAGGCATTCCAAGACCATGATTCACACTGGCCGGTGTGTTGGATGCAAGCAACTGCATGACCGGCTCAAGAAAGTCCACCCTGTAATGCTTCTAACGTAACAGGAGGAAGACTGATTCTCCACAAAAGAATTACATGGCTAGTGACCATAAGACATAGATAATCAGTACTTACACTTTCTGCTCTCTCTTTGACTTTTTCTTCCACATGTTCAGTCTGTGTGCCCTTCTCGTCTGTTTTATTTTCCAGTCTCAAGAGCCTGCAAAATGCAAGAATTCAGTTCCAATTCAGACATACTGGGCTGGAGCCAGAGATCTGCCCTTGCAAGGCAAGTGGAATTCTTATTCAGTATTCAAATACTTCATTTGTGGCACTGAGACATCATCATCATCAATATTTTTCTTCCACCCAATAGACAAAGCTCTTTGGGCTATTCACAACAATAGATAAAATGCAATGCAAATAACAATAAAAACATCATGAAAATACTTCATTTAAAAGACAAAATGAAAAGCAGATTTTAAAAAGCTACAATAGCTTGCACAAATTAAGTCACAAGACTTGTTCAATGGTTGACATAATACTCCAATATAATAAAAATGAATTAAATGCCCTGTCATAGAAGATAGTCTTAATCTAGCACTGGAAAAATATTAAAGTTGGTGCCAAGTGGGCTCCTGTGCAGATCTCCTTTCATAACTGGGGGCTGCCACTCAGAAGGCCCTTCTAATTGTTGTTGCCACAACCTGAGTTGGCAACTGGAAGCAAGCCTCATACCTTGGTTGTAGTGTACAGGTGGACTGTGACTGGATGATTCATCAGGGATTGTGGGATTATGTTGCAAGCTATGTTGGGCTTTACAGGGTTAAAACCAGCTTCTGAATTGGGCTTGGATAGATATAGGCAGGCAATGTAAGAAGACCAGGAACTGGTGGTATGTGGTTGGCCCTTCTGGTCTCTGTAATTAATTTGGCCATGGCATTTTGCCCAAGTTGGTGCAGCTGAACCATCTTCATGGAAAACTCACAGAGAGTGCACTGCAGATTGTAGATTACTGAAACCAGACCACTTGTCCAGACAGGGGCATAGCTGGTAGAAGACACTCCATCCCACTAAGGCCACCTGGGCCCCAAGTGATAAACATGGATCATGGAGCACCCCAAGCTATGAGCCTGCTCCTTCAAGGGAAGCATGACCAAATCCAGAACAGGTTGAACACCTTCCATCTGGTCACTAACAGCATTTCATTCTTGGCTGGATTGAGCTTCAGTTTGTTAGCCCTCATCCAGTTCACTGTTGCAGACAGGCACTGGTTTTGGCCACACCTGCTGAAGATGAAAAGGAGAAACAGGGCTGTGTGTCATCTGTGTCCTGATGACAGTGTATCAAAACTCCAGATGACCCCACTCAGTGGTTTCACGTAGATGTTGTAGATGTTAAATAGCAAGGGGAAAAAACCATCCCCTGAGGAACTCTGTACTGCAGAAACCAAGGGGCCAAGCAATATCCCCCAAGCATCACCTTCTGGAGCTGGACCCCAAGAGGAGCTTGCAGTGCTCCCACTCCCAAGTCAGACAGTAACCCCAGAAGGATACATGGTCAATGGTATCAAAAGACACCAATAGGTCTAGGAATACCAACAGGATAACACTCCCCATTTTCTCTCCTAGCGCAGGTCATCATGCAGGGTGACCAAAGCTGTTTCTTTTTAAATAAGTTTTATTTAAAATTATAATCCTAAAAAAACTAACTAACTAACTAACTAAAAACAACATCCATCATCAAAAACATCGGGCCTGCTGGGTCAGCCCCCACACCCTTTTTTTTCCATTTATGATAACTTAAAAACATATTTAAATCTATGCAAAGTCCCATTTCTCTAGCCAATAATAAAAACCAAAGCTGTTTCCATGCCAGCCTGCACTTTGACTGAAAAGGATCCAGATAATCAGTCTCATCTAAGAGTACCTGGAGCTGGTTGATCATCAGCCACCCAAGAACCTTGCCCAGGAAGGGGATGTTTGCCACCAGCCTAAAATTGTTTTGATCTAGTGGGTCCAGAGAAGTGGACTTACCAATACCTGTTTCATGTGGCATAGGACCACTCCCTCGCATAAAGAGGAATTCATCTCCTCCCTGGTCCAGCTGGTTCTTTCCCTGCCAGCTTTTATTAACCAAGAGGGACAATGATTTAGAAGGACATGGTTGCATGAACCTGTCCAAACACCTTGTAAACATTGAAGAATGCTAGATACGAACAAGCAGCACAATCAAAATCAGTACAGCTACTGGGTACACTCTCCTGTATGAGTTTCAGTGGAAAGCTGCCAGTGAAATAGTGCTAAAGTTCTATTTTAAAGATTTTAAATGGAAATTGCTAAAATCAAGAAACAATTTAGTCCATTAGGGACAGTATATCTATTATCGAGTGTGATTATGTAGACTACTGTGACGTATGCTGGCCACTCAAAAGTATGCTAAATACTTTTGCTGTTATGGGTTTTAGAACTATGCTCAAAAAAGTTTATTCTATCTTAGACACAGAATAATTACAAAGTAATGCTAGGTACCTGTCCTTAAGTTCCCGCACTTCCTTTTCAAGGGCTTCCCTCTTCTGAGTATCATTCCTGAGAGAATGAAGAAGCTGGCTGACAGTTAACTCTTCAGTTTCCAAATATTTTGCTTCATCTACAGATCTGCTCCTGCTTTGATAACATACAAAAGATCTGGTTTGGCATGGTGTAATAATTAGTGTGGTGTACCAGGCTCAAGACCCAGACTCAAATCTCAAAGCAATCATGGCGCTCACTGAGTGCTCTTGGACCAGTCAATCTCAGCCTAACCTAATTCATAGGTTGCTGTGAGTTTAAACAGGAGAGAGTGGGGGAAGTGCCATGAAAACTTTACTGAACTCCTTGAAAAAAAATGGCATAAGCTTAACAAAATGACCCAATGAGGTCAGTATTGTCAGTGACTGCAGAATGCTGACCGGGAGGGGGGGCGGGGGGGGGGCGGAATGGAATCCCAGAGGTGGTTCAAGTGGGTTAATGCGAACACTGCAGCATTCTGTTGCAGGTTCTTCCACTGAACTAAAGACCATCACCCTCCTTGTGTGGTAGCACAATGGTTCAAATATTAACCTGAACCTTCAAGAGGAAAAGCCAACACCCACTTGTCTATCCTGAATCTACTGCCAAACTAATTCAATTAAGATTTGGGAGTTGGGAAAGGGTGAAAATATTTGAAAAGTTAGCAATAGTGGATAAAAATCTTGCATTCCCAGCCTTTTTCTGAACACCCAGTGCCTCTTAAATATTAGGATTCTCTACTGAGATGGTTAGCCCAGAACTTGACTGAGGCTTCTTCCATTTTGTTTGCAGGAGTAAACCCGTGGAGTTCTTCAAGAGGTTTTCTTTCTCTGTCTTCCTACATGTTCTGTTATATAATTTCAAGATATTGCTATGGCATAGTGCTGTCCCAGATTTACACTTTTTAAAAATAAAAGCACAATAGCTAAGAGGTAGTAGATCAACTTTGTTTTTAAAAAGCGTGAAAATGTATGCAAAAAACAAGAGAAGCCTGGGAAGTCAATGCCATTGTACAAAGTTCCCACAAACTGTCATGAGAGAAGACTTACAAGCACACAATAAATGCCTTGCGTAGAGAATCCCATTGTTAATATGAGAGACATCAGTTATGGTGATTTAGCCTGTTAATTTGGAATAACATAGAATTATGATGTTTTACTAGCCTTCTAACCAGCAGATTCTGATAGAGCCTGTCCCTGCAGTTTCCTCCCAGCTCTTGCTTCCAGTGAAAGATAAGCCTCTAGTCACTTTTTCCATAATTTTGCAATTCTATATTCTGAGTTTTCCACCACCTGCAATCCCATCACATTCCCCAAAGCTATAAAACCCCATATAACTTAGGATTCCTTTGTAGAGAAGTGTACAGTGTTCCAATCCTTTGCTCTTTTAACTACCAACATGCATGTATTCGGAAGCTAGTCCTGCTAATTTCAACAACACTTATTCCCATGCAAGTGCACAGGGGACTGCAGCTCTGGTTGCCTCTTTTATATCTTCTCCACCTTTAGGATACCCCTAGGATTTCAGCTGGGTAGCCAGAACTGCAGCCAATATTCCAAATATTGCATACTGGAGTTTTACATAATGTATTAAAATTCCTTCTCTTTTATTCTTGTTTTCATCCCTTTATTCGTGAAGATCTATGAACCAGGAAAGGCAGTAGAAAACAAAATCGGGAAACTGCAATGGCTTAGGAGCTCCACTTACACATAGGTAGCTTTGTCATCCATTATTTTACCATGAAGATCTTGATCTTCTTTTAAGGCTCCATTCACTTTTCCTTCCTGTGGAAAATGGGAAAAAGCAAGAACTTTTCAGAAGGGGAAGAAATGGAATTAACAATGTCCACATTCCTCAACTCGGAGTCACAGGTCTGCAGTCTGTTTCTTTTGCCTTTTTTTTCTTTACTCATGTGGAAATTCATCACATCAACAGAGATAATTAAGGTCAACTCGTCACAAAAACTGCTTGGCTTCAATTTCCCAAATCTAGCATGTTGACTGTCTGGTCTCTAGTCTAGGCTATTTTTCTATATGATCAACTTTTGCAAAAATGGCTACAAGACTGAACAAACATCAGCCAGTCCTGAATGGCAAAGGACTCTCATGAGACATTATCAAAGCAAATCATCAAATTACATAACAGCCCCCTTTAGGACCACAGAGAGAAGGCAAAGGACTGTTTGGAGTGCCAGAAAAGGATACAAAGGGAGCTGAAACATTTGTAACTGGATGTGTTTCAGCAAATGACCTATTGCATCAACAAAGCAAAATATGGTATTCATAATGTTCTATTTTCCCTTCTAAACTTGTTCAACCAAGGGCTATTTCAGCCACAGCACCTCTGTTATGGAATAACCTCCCCAAGGAGACTTGCCTCCTGCCAACTTTGTTATCTATAAAGTACAAGGCAAACACTTTTTCAGTCAACAAGGTACTGTTCTTTCTGGCTTTTCTATCTGTTTATGTTATTGCTGGATCTGCTGCTTTTATACTATGTTCTATTACGTGTGTGTGTTTTCTAACTGTGCTGTTGTTCTGTTATATTGTTTTCACCCAACCTGAACTGAGCAGCAGCACATAATTATTTCACATCATCCTTTGAAGGACAGCTATAAATGGGGCAGGGGATTCTTGAGCCCATGAGGGCACTATGTTGGGGGCCAAATTGAACTCCCAAACTGCAAGTCACTGGAGGTTTTGTGCTCTTCATCCCACATTTGTAGAGTTTACTGATATTCTCTATTACACCTGAAACTTAGCAAATGATTTATTCCATGCCAAAGTTCTCTAAGCACACAACTTAAGAAGGAAGGTCAACTGACAGCATCTCCCACATCTTTTTCCCTTTGTGTAGGAAGGGGAAGGGCAGGTATGGCTTACGTGCATCCTGATCTCAACAAATGAGTCTTCAGTTGTGGCACTGTTGAGTTTAAGCTGCAGCTCTGAAATGATGGCAACCAGGTCTGCCTTTTCAGCCTGGAGCTTTGTCACCTGCATCTTCAGCTGCTCAAGTTCCTGTGTCATCTCCTTTTTAGAAACTGTGCATCCCTAGGAAAAGTTATCAACAGACAAGACTGTTCAATCCCAAGAGCAGCCAGGAGCCACAGAAGCACAGAGGGAAGCGGACATATTACCCCAATAACTGCCTATCTCCATCTTTGACTGTCTGTATACCAAGACCATTTCCTGCCCTCCCAGACCTCTGAAATGCTGTTCCCCACTGTGCTGATTTGGTGGCAAACTGCTACAGCAGCTAAGGCCAAATTTAGCTTGTTAGCTTATAGCTTGGACAGCCTCCCTAGCAGTTTTCCATTGACGTGCACTGCGACTGCATATGAATAGCATGGGATGGGGGCAGAAGCTGCATAGGGATCCCATTTTGCCCATCTTTCCTGCACATTAAGATCCTCAGCAGAAACCCTGCTCCAAATACCCCTACCCCTCCAAGTACACTTGATGTGCAGTAGGTGATTTCTAGGGGAACAGTCTTTTCAGTGGTGAGGCTCTGACTACGGAACACTCCCCCAGCGTGTACCTTGACGTCACTCTGGCACCAGGTAAAGAAGAATCAGCCCAGGTCCTTTTGCTGAGGTGAAGCCAAGTGGCTTAATCTAGTGCTGGGAAAAGGGCTGCATCCTTCACCAGAAATGAGGGCTGGAGGACCCCTCAGGGGACATAGGGAAAGTGCCACACAGCACTGTCTTCCGACAGATGGGAATGGCCAGAGGCTCAGGAACAGCCTGAAGGTTGCCTTGTATGGCAGGTGGGGGGGGGGGGGGAATACCACAGCATCCTCGTTATGCTGTAATCTTTGCCTTGAAGCAAAGATTTCATTTTCCTGAAAGTTTTGTGTGTGTGTAGTTTGATCTTTGCTACTGTTTCTACACTGCTCTTTTTTATATTACTTTTTTGGTAGATTATTTGTATGCTTTTAAGTGTACCTCGTATCATTCTAAGATACGAGGGCATTTATTCGAAGGGAGGAGAAGAAAGCCATATTATAAGTACATAAAACAGATGTGGCAAGAAGCACAAGGATTCCATTGTTGGGCAATTAGTCATTTGTATGACCTGCAATTTCTTTTCTTTAGTCCAGCAATACAACAATAACAAGAACATTCTAGCCATATCCCGCTTTCTAGACGTGTGCCCTCCCTTCCCCAACAAACACAAAAATATCAGATTTATTTACATTTGGGAGCCCTTCCTCTCTTTCTTCCAGAGTCTGGAGTTGTTTCTTAAGAGCTTCATTCTCAACACATTTGGTTGCCAAGCATTGTCTAGCTTCTTTGAACTTAGACTCAAAGAAGTCCCGCTCTTTCTTCAGCTTCTCTTTCCACTCAGAAATCTCCTCAAAGCGATCCTTCATAGCTTGGTTACGTTGCCTCATGGCTACTGTTTTGACATCCAAAGATTCAGCATTAGTACTTGCCAATACATAGCAGACCACTTGTCCTCCAAAATCTCACTTTGTCTGTAACAATATACTTTGAGAAAGGCATTTATGATACTGCATTTCCACATAATATCAAAGCTTTGGTAGAGAGCAGAATATATTCTTTGGAACTGCATTGTTTTTGGTGGTTGAAATACACCAAGAAATCTTTGTTTTGAACTGTTAGTTATAGCTAGGGAAGGATTCCTAAAGTGTCCAATTAGTAACAACAGTTCAGGAAAAGATTTGAATGTTTCTTAGTGGCAGAGACAGAAAAAATGTGTCTTATACAACTGTGTTGTTTGCAGTAACTGCTGAACAATCTATATACATTAGATACTGCCTACTGCTGTGTCATGTTGGGTGGGTCAACTTGTAAAAATACACATCGTTGTAATAGAATTGTTAATACACTGTTCCAGTAATGGAAATTTTTTAAAAATTATTTCTGCTGCACTTAAGCAAATGAACGAGAAATCCCATGTTTCCTCTGAAAGCATCCCAGGGACCCTAAGATGTCGCAGATTTCCTCTCCCAAGGCTGTAGACCTTGTTATAATCTTGGGAAGAGGATCCAACATCAGTCCATTTCTTTCCCCGCCACTCACAGCCTACAGAGAGCACCACAGATGCTTTTCTGAATTCACAACAGCAGCTTCAGAATTGCTTTGAGATGGGAAATGAAAGGAATGGAACGGCAGCCTGCTCGCTACTGGTAAGTCACCTATACAGGCTGATCAGGTTAAGGCAGTTTTCTCCAACATGGTGCTCTACAGAGTTAACTACAACTCATATCATCCCCAGCTAACCCCAGGTCAGAAGGAGATTTCCCTTCACAAGCCTCTTTTGCTTCCTACCCCAAAATGAAGACTGGGGTGGGAGACAAAGCCAAATACAGTTCTGTCAGCCAGTCAACCAAGCACCTAAGCAAAGAAAGGTGATGGGGAAATGTGTGCCAAGAGTGGGTTGCATCCAATGCTAATCCAACATAAAGGTAAAGGTTTCCCCTTGACGTTAAGTCCAGTCATGCCTGACTCTAGGGGGCGGTGCTCATCTCCGTTTCCTAGCTGAGGGAGCCAGCGTTTGTCCACAGACAGTCTCTGTGGTCATGTGGCCGGCATGACTAAACACCAAAGTGCATGGAACGCTGTTACCTGCCCACCGAAATGGTACCTTTTTATCTACTTGCATTTGCATGTTTTCAAACTGCAAGGATGGCAGGAGCTGGGACGGAGCAACAGGAACTCACCCCATCGTGCAGATTCGAACAGGTGACCTTTCAATCAACCAGCCCAGCAGCACAGCGGTTTAAACCACTGCGCCACCTGCAGTCCCAATCCAACATAAAGAGGCCTTAATGACATGACTGGTGCTTTAGACTAGCAACGGATGCAACACAGTGCTTTGCAAGAACTTCAAATGCAACTAGCAGCTGCTACAGCAACCTTCCCCTACCAGAGTCCCTCTAAGATGCATTGCACTACAACTCCAAATCATACCCGATCACTAGTCATGCTTACAGGGGCTGATGAGAGTTGCAGTCAAAAATATCCATCTAGGGGGACCCAGGTTGGAAAAAGTTGCACTGAACAATGCAAATGAAACTGGCTAACTGGCCTTCTGCCTCGTATCTTGAAATGGCTAGAATATTTTCTCTCTGCAACTACAAAGTGGCAGAAAAGGGCAGTGCCTCTGAGAATGCACACCACACCTTGGAGATAAGTAACCAGCAATAACCTTCAAGTAATTCAAAAGTTTATCTTCTGAGCCACATTAAGAGCCACACATGTTATTTTACAAGTTCAGCACTCATTACAACACAAGAGGGTCATTGGCTCAAGCAAGCTGTGTCTGAAGTTTACTACAGGCAAGTTTACTTTACAGCAACTTAAGGACTTGTCAAGTGCACCTAATGTTAAGTTTTCACCTTTCAGCTCATTGTTCTCCGTAATGAGCTCTTTCATCTGCTGGACCATCTCCTCCACTGTGGATACGCCAAGGGTGGGAGGCGACAAATTTGGATGCCCATTTTCTACCTCAGTTTTGCTACAATCCCCATTTTCAGCTGCAGGACAATCGAGTGACTTCTTGGACATTGCTACAGATACTTCATAAAAAGAAGAATATAAATCATAGGACTGTGTGTGTGTAGGAATGAATGATCTTATCTGAACAATTAAATTTTGACTAAAAGCCCCCAACAAACATTATACTAATTAAAAAATAGAAAAGTCCTCATTAGTGCCTTTGTATTTATTCATCAGAATTATGGAAAAACAGTTTGGTAGGTTTGCAGACATTTACATACACACATGGGGTTGGTTCCATGGGATGCACGGGGGTGCCTGCATCCCAGAACCCTATTTTTTTATTACCACAGTAATGTACCGAGACAGACACACATCCAGCTGATCAACAAGAGGATTAGAAACTTCTACTGAAGGTGGCTGCTAGTTCTGGACTCTGCAATAACCTGGAAGACAGTCTTCCTTGGGTCAGAAGATATCAATCACTGTGTATTGTGGATCACATGATCTGATCTTTTGTGGTAAGCTGAATGCCAGAGGGAGCATGACAGCTGTTTTCAGTTTCATGAGGAAGAGGGTGAAACATTAAATTAAAAAATGGAATGTGGTCAGGCAATGCTAAGTACTCTGAATGAGTTAATAAAGTTGTGTGATCAAGTAAGGAAGAGATTGTCGTGAAGACTAATGCATCTGTGAGACTGCCACTTTTAACAGATGAAGCAGCAGATATTTCAGCAGAGAACAACTGCCTCTAGGTGTCAGATCTGTGAAAGAAAGTGGTGGGAATACATCTGTATATGAGGAATTCCTTGTAATCATTTCAGTCTCACTCCAAACTGCAGTAGACATAACAGTTTGTCTGCCTGTTTGGATTTTAGACTGGAACTCAATAACTTAGCTGGACAAGGATATGATGCCTGTTCAATCATGTCAGGAAAAGAAGGTGGGGTTCAAGCACAAATTGGGACAATCTCTATTCAGGCAACCTTTGTCTCCTGCTCACCCCACAGATTTAATCTCATTATAAGTGATCTGGTCACTATAAATGATGCACATAACACAGCTGGCACAAATGAAAACCATCATAACATTTTTCTTTGGCTGCATCCAAAGATGATGTCAAATATCCAACATATGAATGCTGGGTGAAACATGGTGAACACAAATATACAAGAGTTTCTGTTCATTTGCAGAAAGTTACACAAGTGTCCTCTCACAATGCTAACACTCAGCAGGACCAGGAAAAAACCAAAGCAAGACAATGTTCCTGTCAGTTATTGTGTGCATCTTGGACATCAGCTTCTATTGTTTGTCTAATGAACATAAGCAAGAATTCGTTGATGCTGGAGCCAGTTACCCAAGCTCTGAGATCTGTGACATTTGATGCATTGGAAATGAAAGTACATATAGAGAAGATGCTGGGAATAATACAGAACACAGAGAAACTAGAAAGAAGATCTTTAGCTCAATAATACAGAAGTGCAAGGAACTGGCAGATGAAGTAAATGTAGAATTGAAAGCACTCAGACAAACCATACAGCTGAAACTACAAGTCAATTCTCACAACCAGTCCATAGAAAAATTCTACCTATGGTCTCTATCTACATCCCCTACCTGGATTTGGTTACCAAAACTAATCTGCTTACAGTTTGCTGAAACTACATCCATCTCAGAGGTATCACACTTGAGAAAAAAAGCTTTTAAGTTCATGTTGATTCCATTCAGGAATTGTACAAATTTGAAAACACTGGGAATGAATAGTACCTGGCATGAGTTGTAGGCAAAAAGACATGCCAGACAAGTACATGCAGGGGGAGTGTAACACAACCCTTAATGAACTATTGAGCCATACCAAACTGTCCCCTGCTGTTATAATGGCTGTTGTGCACATTATAACTGAAGGGAAAATGCTGTCATAACTAAACAATCCTTTAGCATGTTGCACAATGAAGAGACATGCTTCTGTTTAAAGATTGTTTGGCTAGTGTTTCTGGGTGGCCACAGAGAAGGCATAAGCAAAGGAGAATTTTATAAAATAAATTATTCACCATTTTATTCAATACCCTCAAGCATTCTTTAGAAAAAGAATGATACACTTTGTGTTATGTTTTCCTTTATGCTATAGGATTGAGCTCAGACTTTATGTTTGGCATTCACAACAGCTGATGTACATTCTCTGCAAAAGGAGTGAAATACAGCTTTAGAGTCCTACTGAAGGTTTATGTGTTTGTAGCACTTTAGTTTGAACTGGTTTGCATAATCACCACAACCAACTATAGCTTATTAACCATAGAGAGTTGTGCTGCCCATGCCCAAGTTGCCCATCTAAAATCCAACTGCTGCAAATTTGTATTATGTATGAATGAACCCAGCAAGAATGTGTTGGGATGGCAGATTTGTCAACCACCCCAATAACTCACTGTCACTAGGTTCATGCATAATGAGAAGCTATGGCGCCCTCATCATACCCTGAATATTCAGAATGACTGAAGTTGGGCCTTTGCTATGCTTAAGTGAACAATAAAGCAATTTGTTAGAAGTTCACTCTGCAATGTATAATGCCATACAGTAAGTCACCAAGAGGTAAAGCCACCGTTGTTTCTCATTGTTTCTCTTCAGCACCATGTAATGGTGAATGGCATTCAGTCACAGAAAGACTGCATATGGTCAAGTCAACAAGCTATAGCTGTTATAAGTCTGAGACCTTGGCCCCGCCTGTAACAATTATTTCTGCAAACACCCATGCACACACATGTGAGGGCAGCAGGACCACACTTGTTGTGAAACACACTCATTAGCATCCCCCCAGCTATTGGTTAAAAGCTCACAATTGTATATTGTTCTTGACAATTGGCTCAACTGCATGAAAGAATGCAACATGGGTAAAACATATGCACATATTGTATTATATCTATACCCCCCTTCCTTCCTCTTGCAAGCAATTCAAGGTGGCTTATAAGCTTCTCCTCCTTGCCTCTCCTCCTTCATTCTCACAACAACCACCCTATGAGGTAGGTTTGGCTGAGCTCCATGGCTCAGATCTTCTAAGTCCCAAGCCAACACTCTAACCAGTACATCACACTGGCTCTGAAACAGGACTCTTCCTTGTTAAAGATGTACACACAACTCCCGGAGGAGCACAGCAAATCAGCATCGGCGGGGCTATGGCTACCACAGACCTGCTCGCCATGTGTTCGGTGAATAAGTTCATATGAACGCCCCTCTTGCTCTGTAGTCTGAAGGAAAGCCAACTTCTCTCTTCCAGGCAGCCCTTAAAGACTCAGGAGGAACTCTACCGTCCTTTGAAAAAGCTCATTTCAGGGGCAATTATACGTGTGTAAAATAAGAATAACTAATCTCTCAGTCACCTTGAAGGATGTTCCTGGCCACAGAAACGGACCGGCCGCTTCTCTGAAGGCACCTGGCTTCACACTCACTCACTCACTCACTCACGCACACGCACCCCCCTTTCTCATCCGCCGTCCACGCCCCTTCACAATGCAAGCGACGGGCGTTCTCCCTTGGAACGCGGCCGGAGTTTACTTTCACTTTCCCAGTAACCAATCAACACTCCATGAGACCCCTTCGTCGCAAGCAACACCTTTCGATAGCTCCAAGGCTGCAGTACCGCCCCCTCCACATTTCTTTGGGTGCAAGCCCCACTGAGCGCGGGGGTCGGGGGGGGGCAGGCGGCACACCTGCTCCAGAGTATGTCTGCCTGCAATCGGCTGTTGGCGCACGCCAAGCGGATGTGCTCGTCGCGCCCCGCCCGGCACCAGCCTCCCGCAGGGATGCCGAGGGGCGCGTCCCTCTGCTTACCGCAACAGCGCGACCGCTTCTCTTGCTAGGAAAGGCAAGGGTTAGTTTTCCGCCTGCATGGCCCAGGGCCCTTCCGAGCACAGTCCTTTTCTTCCGCTGCAGGAAGCCTTCGGCTGGCAGTGAGTAAGCAGCAAATCCGAGGTGAAGGAGTGGAAAAAATGGTTAGTTTTGAAGCCCTTTCACCTTTGCTTCGTCCATGTCAGCTGACTGAAGGAACGCCCACGCCGTCGCCTCCTTTCCGGGACTCTCCGATCGTATTACGGGCTTTCGCTTCCGCTGTAATAGAGATCCAATTCTAGAGGCTGCAGTTGACACGCTTTGATTTTTTTATTCTGAAATATCTGGAGGAGAGCTGATCCGGATCTTAAATTCACCTTCTACCCTAGGATTCTGATTTGACCCCTTGCACCATTCAATCGTCGTCGTCGTCCTGATTGATAATGGATTTACAACAATTCCTATTTTTAGGGGATTTTTGCAAATGTGTATATAGATAGCCTGCGCTGTGCATAATCCAGCGCCTACCCCTTTTATGGCCCCAGTATTTATCTCACTTCGTGCGGATTGGGGAGCCTGTGGCTCACCATTTGTAGTTAGACTCCAGTTCCAGTCGGTTCTAGCGAGCATCTCACCAGGGCCAGGCTTGTGTCTAGCTTTCAGGAACAGGTGAAATCAGTGCTGGGCCTAAGTCTGTATGCCAGTTTCCTGAAAGTGTTCTTCCCTTCTATGAAAGGTTTTGATTTTCTGCCTCATTCTCAGGGCATTTTATAACTTATAAAATGGTGTTTTTGAGTGTTGCAAGGATATAGTTCTATTACATGTATTTGCTGTAAGAAACTGTTGCACAATTTATTCTCCCTGCCCTGAAGAAATTTAGTACAATTATTCTGCTCTCAATTAGGGTAGCAAAGTTTTAGAAGTTTTTTGTGCGCAGCTCTAATAAAATCTAGTAGTTACTCAGTTCCATGTCAAAGCTTAATCCAAACCCAAGTGTGATTTCACAAATGGGTCTTGCTCCTTTAAAAGAGCCACCAGGCATGGCTTCTCTCTTCACTGTAGTACTAAAATAGAGGAAGCTGTATTTTTACTTTTCCTCAGAATCCTAGCACTTAGAGCTAGGCATGTGTCTGCCAGAGAAGGAAAAAAGAGTTTTTTATTGCCATACATCACATATTATTGCCACAAAGAATAGGCTAATGGTGACTGATATAGGCAGCTTTTTAAAATATTAAGGCAACTTCCTAGAGGTCTAAGAAGAGTTCTTAGGCATGATAGCACATTGTAATGACTTTTGCAGAAACAGTGTGCTTCAGAACAATAATTTTCAGGAGAATAATAGCTTTGTGCCCTGTTTCACTGTTGTAGGGGAGCCAGAGAAAAAGAACTGGGATTGTTTGATAAGCAGGGATGATGCTGTAATCTGCTACCACCCCCAGATCTCTCTGTTCCTTCCGGACTTAGCTGAAATCCTCACGGTAGTTGGAGGAAAATGATTTTCCTTCCTGGTTCTGAGGTCAGACCCCTCCTGGTAATTTTTTAAGCTGGCGGCCTTACAGCTTATGTACCTCTTATCCTTTTCTCTTTTGAATTCAAGTTGCTCCAGCCAAAGTATAACATGGAAACCACTATGTTGCCTTTTGCTCTGTCAGTATTTGATGACTCTCAGCTAATCCTAATCAGGTATTATTCTGTGTACTGCTGCTCTTTGGTGTGTGTTTGTATCTTTGATGTGTGTGTAGAACTGCCTGCATTTTTTTAGTCTTCTTGAAGGTGTGGCACTCCTAAAGGGAATGTCATTATGAGTTCCACTGCACCGCTACCCTATTTGTGAGCTTCTTGAAAGCTTCTGGTGGGTCACTATTGAGAAAGAGCCTGATCTAAGCACAGCTTCCTCAGTCCAAGGGTCAAATTCCAGTCTGGAAAGACAGAGGTACCAAAGACCAAGTGGGAAGGCCAAAAGATGATTCTTATTTTAATCCTGCTCACAAGTAAGCAGGTCTGCAGGACATGCTTGTTCATGTTGACTCAGAAGTAAGCAGGACTGTTTCACTCAGTAACTTCCAACCCAGGTCCTGCCTCTTCCTGGCATGGAAACTGTATTCTCCCTGATCAGCTCCTAATCAGAAATACTAATAACTTTTCCCTGCCAGGCTGGGCAAAAATACCTGGTGGATAGGATCACAAGTTCAATCTCTGTCTTAAAGTCTGGAATTCTTCACATTGTCTGGATCTAGCCACTCCATCCCTGCATACTACTACTTTAAAAAGAAACAAATACCTAGAACATTGCTAACAAGGCACCTGGCAGTGGGACTGTAGTTCAGTCTTAGAACCCTGCTTTACATGGAGATAGTACCTGGGTCAACATCTCCAGGTGGGGCTTGGAAGGACTCCTGCCCAGAATCCTGGAGAGGCACTGTCAGCCAGTTAACAGTACTGGCCTAGATGATCCAAACAAACATCAGACTTAATATTTTCTGAACAAAGTTTCCTGTAGCTTCAGAAGCTCCACAGGGGGTAGATATTGGGCTTCTCTAAATGAAGCATTTAACCTGGTGCTTTACCAAGGTTGCTGCTTCCATTTTTTTTAAAGAGACGATTTGAGTCTTCTTTCCATGAGTTTTCCACTTTGCCTAACATGTTCCCGTATGTTCCACTATACAACACAAGGTGGCACTGTGGTCTAGTGTAGAATTGTGACTTTCCACAAGACCTCTATAGCAAATGGGACACCCTCCTGAATAATTTTGTTTCATTTATTATATTTCCACATCCGCCAAAGGCAATGATTTTCCTTGTTCTAAAAATGTCCTGAAAATGGCAGGAAAACATGGGGGTTAGATGAACCATCATGAAAAGGATGTGCCAACTTCTATGACTGAGATATTAGAACAGCACAATGAATGCATATCATGCAACCACAGTGATGGGGAAAGGGAGGCTGCACCAGATGAATCTCTCCCTGACACCCTGCATGCTAAAAACACACAGGATCCAAAGATATGAATGGAAAATAGTAGACAATTACAATTAATTTATTTCTCTTTAAAAATATGCTCTTAAAAGATTGAGCTGTATGTGTAGTACTGTAGAAAGTATGAAGCAGAATACAATTCATTGACTGTTTTAACTGGCATTCTGTTCAGTAAAGGACAATACTTTGGTATTAGTACCTTACAGATCAAGAAAGGGCAGAGTTGTCTCCTGCAAGGAAAGCTGCTCTCCCATTCTTTCTTTCACCATTTGCAGTACTAGTGACAGTATTTCTAAATCATTCTCAGTTGTAAAGAAACCATTTCAGATTTCCAAACTTGAGGGACAGACCCCTGCCCCACACATAGACCCTTCCAGATGATCTAAGGAAACCAAATAGGCTTATTTATCACCATTGATCTGTCAGGTGTTTCCTTTGAGCACCAGAGCAGGCCAGTCACTATGTAGGTTACCAAATGGGTATAATTAATGCTTGAATTAATATGGGAAGGGAGGCACAGAGGAGCTTGACTTGGTTCCCTTCCCTGCTGATTTTTAAAATATTTCTCACATTTTTATCCTGTTTTAGTTCCCAGAGTTGTATAACTGCATTATCGCCACAATAACCCTGCAAGGTTGTTCTGGCCAAGAGATGGTGACTGGCCTAAGATCACCCAATAAGCCACTCTGATTGATACTCTGACTGCTACACCATATTGTTCCACCTGTGTGAAGGGCAGTATTTGGCTAAAACTGGGAAGCAAGGGATGGGGCTTATGGAATTCATTACTGGCCTCCCTAGCCCTCCTCTCATAATTTAGCTACTGATTTTACATTGTCTAATCTGGTTTTGCAAGCTGTAGCCAGGAGGGAAGCAAGAGTTAATACACCCCAAGCAAGCTGACCCCTCTCCCATCACCCCAACATTTGGCATCTTATACAGCCACTTCTCTGGCTTCTGAGATCATCCTAGGTGTTTTCCCAAGCCTACCTTTGTCTGCCAAAACATTGCTTCAAAAAGAAAGAATAGAAGAGAAGCTGAGTTGAATTAAACAGAAAGCAAAAGCTGCTGCAAATTCTGTGGCTGGTGCTTGTCCCTGCTGTTGCACAAAACCAAGGCACACATGAACAAGGGCAGGGGGAAATGGGAATGGATACCCAAGGCAATGCTAGCTTTTTCCACAAGTAACCCAACTGGGTGGTCATTGCCTCTGCCCCTTTCTCTAAAGGGCCAATCTGTGAGGCACCATATGAGGGGGAAGGACATTTCCTTGCTACTGTTTGAGTGTCATTTAGCTAACACAAGTTCTGCAATGTATGATCCTTGACCTATCATGAGGAGCTGTCTTGGGCCTTTTTGTCTTCTGGGAGCCTTTACCTGAGACCATTATTCCTTTCGGTGACACTCTTTCACTGCTGCTCATATTAAACTTGTGCTTCTGACTTTTGGTCCACTGCCATAATCATGCTGCAGAACACAAGTGAATTCAAAATAGTACAGAATGCTAACAAAGTCTCTCAAATAGGGTGGCTTTCAAATGCTCTGTGTCCTTGTTTCTAGAACACTTAATTTGGCTGTTGCAGAGGGATGGATGGAACATTAAAAAACAACAACACATTTTGGCCAAGATGAATGCATACACATTTCCTGTGGATTCAGATTTGCTGATTAAGTTTTAACTTTCAAATGGCAGGTAATTTAAAGTACTATGAAGATTTGCCACTTGCAAAGTTTAAGATTAATGTGGGCCTGCTGATGGGGAGAGAAGGGAAAAAAAAAGATTAA